AATTTTCGTTACTTATAAAACAAAGAGAAAGGGAAGAGGGAAAGGGGAGGAAAAAAAAAAAAAAATTTAAAAAGGGAAAAAAGAAAAAAGGGGGGGGGGGGGGGGGGACAAAAGGAAAAAAAAAAATCGAAAATCGATTTTTAAATTATATAGTGCCTTCATGTGTAACATGTAAAAAATAATAAAGTTTTCAATCATCGAAGATCTACTTACATTTTATGATATAGATCAATATTACGCAAGACCATCAGTTTTTTCTATAAATAAACGTATGAACCATCGTTGAGACATAAATGTGAGCGCAGACGGCGTCAGTTCAAAATAACAGAGTAGACATGTTTATGAGCTAATACTAAAAGCTAATTATCTAGTCGTGTTCCTCAAGCGGTTGATCTAAATTAGATTTTCGCAGAAGTTTTCAAGCCAAGTATTCCGCTTGCGTCCGACTCAAACACCCCGCGATTTACATTAGTTTTAAACAATGCCGGAGCAACTAAACCAAGTTCTGGCCCGCTTTCCAGTTCAATATTCAAATAAGTTTAGTGATGCAGAAACTCAATCGTTTACACTTTACAGTTTGCTCCGTATGCAGTATTAAATTTAATTTTATAGCCTCCTGAGTCGAGTTGCGCGTTCAATTATGCTTAATGGTCTAATTTTCCTCTGAAGAATGCTAAGCTATTTAATATATATGTAATGTAACTTCAAATGCATCCTTCTTATCTTTAGTAAAGACCCGGTTCTTGCGGTGTTATAAAGATAAGACACTAATTCACCCGACAAAAGTGCTTTAGTCGTTTATAGCGAGACTATTTTAAACGACAGACAGATATCCTATTGCGAACTTAATACAGATTTTGAACACTTTTTTTATAGAAACATTGTAAAGATATGGGTACAATTACTCAAAGATAGAACAAGCTGAAGAGACTTAGTCATTACCGCCATATTTAGCTGAACTGGGCGGTCGGCGGGAGCAGTGCTCAGGTTAAAATTGGCACTTCAATGAGTCATTGGGCGCCAGTGACAGTTTATAGACACAAGCATACGACCACCAACTTTACTAAGAAGTACGGAAATAATTGACGGCAATGTTGGTACACATTTATCAAGAGGGGCTTCTCTTAACGTTAATTATAAACTACATATTAACAATTTCTTCCATTACAACTGTTTGAGGCGAATAAACCCGTAGTACAAGGTTAACGAATGCGTTTTAATTTTTTAAAGTTTTTGAAATAGCTTGTAACAAATGATATAGCTGAATTAATTACTCAATATAATTGCTTTCCACTTACCAATAAACTCGTGCTGAGCTTGTAGCAATCTTACTTTTAATTTAGATGCAAGTTGTATGATAAAGGGAGAAATTGTTATTCTTACAAGCTTCTTGTAACTTACTTGAAGGTTGGACCGGGATCTTCTAGGCATAACTCCCACGACTTCTCCCCGCATAATGGATTCAATAACTGTAATAAGAAAAACAATACAATGAAGACCAATAATAATTGAATGAAGGAATCCCAATATTAAAAATAAAACTATAGCGTAACAATCCCAACACTGTTATTTATTGATAGTGATCTGCTGATTTGTCTTGGCGATTTTTAATTCACCAACGTTATTTACATATATTAAATTGAAAAAATCTAAGAACATAAGAGTAATACAAATGTATATACTTAGTAAAAACAATGTCTGTAGTATACGCGAGTAGCGCACAAAACGCGTAATTTTTTAGTTAACTTATCTTAAATACGGTTTAAAAGTTTTAGACCAAGGCTCTCATCGAGCATGCAAAACGTAGTTAAAAAGAAATAATAAAAGTACTTCGCGTTTTAAACCGTTTGTGTTTTATTTACATCAATAACTTTATCACGATTTAATATAAATAAGTTAACTTACATTTTGAGATCCAAATGGTACTATCTACAAATTTCCTTTCTGGTTTCTTAAAATACAAATCGCGTTTCGATATATATGAATACATTATGAACCCTTGCATTCGCGTCAACGTTCTTTGTATGAGTAATATGGAATTTGAATTAGCGAGAATGTTTAATGTTTTATTACGAGAATCGCGAACATGATGCCGGCGAACTTGCAAACATTGCTTTATTTTATATGGCTTCTTGCATCCAATTATGCACAAACAGGACTACGGCTACCCGATACATACAATCATAGCATCCACTCATCAATATTTGCTAAACGTTCAGGCTATTTTACTACTAATTTACATATAAACAAGATATAATATAGCGTACCCGATTTTCAATAAACTTGCTGGATTTGAAAGATTGATTGTAACCATCGTATGTGTTAACAATTTAATGGATACATGAAATAAACATGCCGAATCCTAATTGAATTTTAATGTAGGATCAAAGACAGAATACGCGATGTGTTGGATTGAATCAAAATACACATCTAAACTTTGTTATTGTAATTAGCAATTGCCTATATAATAAAATACACATCTACCATAGTTCGAACAACGATCAGATTAGGTCTGGTATTTAAAGGATAGATGTAACATGTCTAATGTTTGGTTCTAAGACATATCAGTTTTGGTACAATTTCTTTCACCAAAACACATGTGTCAGATGTTTACAAAGATTTTGGAGAAACAATTGCTTCTCATATAGAAATACCAATAAAGCTCTCTGCATATATAAATAGACTTGTATATTATTGTTACATAATGAATAATGGCTGACTGCTTTGCATATTATACCAGGATAGCTATATTTATTACACACGAGCGATTTTATCACACGACACGTGAGCTTAAGTGTCGTTGTATGTGTACACTGCAAAATGAAAGATTATATTTCAATGTGGTATTCTCGTACTGTTGTTTATTATTCCCTATACGTACTCATAGCTATAAATATTTATATGTATGCAGGATAACGACTTAAGAAACGAAATATTTAAGTTTGAAGTTAAGCGTGTCCACTTAACATCAATTTAAAAACCTCTTTCATATACTGTCTCTTGTTTACGCGTACACATTTAAATAAAACACTTGAACGGTTTAAAATGCGATAAATATTAGTTAAACCTATTTTAACTACGACCCGACATTTCAGATGCTTTGCAACAGTCGTGGTCACGGGGAGACTTTATAATAATACAATTCTGATTTATCTATGTCATTAATAAATGATATGATTGTTCTACAGTATTAAGTATAAGCTACCTCCATCGCCAAGTAGTCTCATTTGAACCAGAGATGGATCCTCGCTATGCTCCTCCAGCACAGTGTCATCAGTCACAGTCAGCTCCTGAAAAAAATAACGGTATTTAGTAGTTTTAAAAGACAATTCACAGAGGGAGAATTGAATTAGAACGTAAACAGGAGTTTGGCAGGTGTTTTCTGTTTACAAGTAAACAAATAGTCCATTTCTATTTAAACTTTCTCACGTTCACGAAACTAACGGGTAAATGGACGCGTCTGGTTTGCGTTATTTTATTGTGTGATAATCGATAAATATTAAAATAAAGTGATTTTGTTCCTTGAGTTATTATATTGTTTACAAACATATACTGCATGTTAAATTTTGGCTAGTTAAGGAAACGATAGAAGCATTACAATTGTTTATATCAACATTGATATGATAATACATACATAAAATATTGGACTCCGTTAAGTAAAACAACGATCTGGACAAACAAGCTCAAAAAAGTGGCAGTCATTTTGAATAGAAACAAAATAATTGAAACTGTTGATAAACATGTCTTCGCAAGACAAAGTTCGGAACAAACTCGTAGGAAACAAAGAGGGAAGTTTAAGTTACTCGGGTTACCGAGAGGGATGGCTGGGAGGGGGAGGCAAAAACTTTGACGTCTCGGACGTACCCAACTTCGCTACTCGTTAATTCGCAGTATAAATTTGTTTAACGTCTTAACTTTTTAACAGTAATTACGAAGAAGTTCAAGATAAATTGGAGTACTTGAGAAGTCAGGCATCCGATGAGTTCTGATGCGACCTGACATAACGTTTCACATTTTGTTAGTCAACCTATTAATGAAGGTGAAAGATGTTAGTAAAGATGATATATAGAATATTTAGCCTCTTTGCCGACGCATTACGTAAATTAAAATTAAATTACGACAGTCTTATTCGAGGCACATTAACTTTACACCTCGTAATGAAAATATAATATGAAATGAATGCATTAGTAAGTAATTGGATGTTTCACATAGTAGGAAGTTTACGACTAACGAGGCATTTAAATTACTTTCACAAAAGTATTTACACAGAGACGCGAAAGCTACTCAAACTCAAGATGATATATGATTGTTGTTATAACTTCGCTTATTACATAACCAGTTCCAATACAGGGGGAAAACTCAAAACCTACTGAAGACGAGATGAAAGAAAAACAATAAAGCGATTCAATAACGGAAAACAACAAGTTTGTTCAGCAAACTTTGACTGCTGAGTCACCTGCGAACTTGTTAACAATGTAACTTAGCTCATAACGTTTGATTGCGCTTGTGAGTTTGTAAGGTTTTAAAATAAAATTTTATTTAAGGTTACGATAATAACGTAGGGCATTAGATTTAGCGAGAGGTGTATATGGGAAAGGTTTTGAAATTGGTTTAGTAAATACTGTCTATAGTTTACGCGAGTAGTACACATTTAAATAAAACACTTTAACGGTTTAAAACGCGATATATTAGTTAAACTGATTTGAAAATCAGTCTCCCCGTGACCACGGCTGCTGCAAAACATCCGAAACTTCGGGCCGAAGTTAAAAATCATTTTCAAATCAGTTTAACTAATATATCGCGTTTTAAACCGTTAACGTGTTTTATTTAAATTGGTTTAGTAAATGGTAGAAATTTATGTGTAATCACAGTGTAATAAGCAGTAGTCTCACACTTCTCGTTGTTTTTTTAATGATGATACGTGAAATAACCCAGCTACATAATATCGCAACAAGAGGTGCTGTCGATCTATTTTACCTTTAGATATTCGAAAATACACAGACTGAAACCGAAACGCGATAAAACTTGACGCTTTCCATCTGTGGACGGTAGTTCGGTATTCGGTAGGACCCGGACGGAGTTTCAATAATAATTCCTCCAGTTTAGTATCCAGATTTCAGACGAAAAATGTTGGACCCTGTGGGGATATAAACCACGTACCGTTACCATACATTGCTACCTTTACACCAAAGAGCCCGTCAAAGAAATTCAAACAGCAACAAAATAAACTAAAGATAAATTACATTTTTTATTTTAAGAGTCGTAAAACCTCCAATTATAAAAATCACTAATATATGTAGAAACGAATAAATTTAAAAGAAAAACTTCAGTGGAACGATAAAATAAATTAGATAAATAAATGAAGGATACGAACACCAATAAGAATGAAACATAAATATTTATGCTCCAAAACTGGCTCGAACATTACATCCGTTACAATTCAACTTCAATTAAACCGTGGACAAAAACAAGTCGATACCGAAACTGGTATCGAATAATTAGTCCCGCCAGCACACGCCTACGAAGGTAGACCTTATTAAAAATGTTGATAATTGGAAAGCCGTTTAATACCGTTGTAATCGTTAGCAACTTTCTTATACAACATAGTTTACACGTGCCATGGGTTATGTGCCCTTATAAACATAGATTCCAGAGTAGTTATTCTTTTCATAGGGTTGCATGTCGTAATGATGCCTAATAACAATCATTAAAAGATTCTAGATGGAATATAATAAATGGATGCGTAACAAATTTTATAATTACAAATCCTATAACTAGTACAATAAAATAACTAGCCGTATGATCGCAAAGGAATGATATGTTATTATGTAACGTGTTGTTGCAGATAATCGTAATCCACTAAGTAATGGTTCGGTTGGTAACCCTACCCTGGATGCCGCCGCGATCAACGAAACTGGTTTTACTGAGAACTTCCTGTTTCAGAATTATCTCGAAGAATGTATGTACAGTTAAGCGAACACACCTTAATGCTTCCCCATCCAGATATAATCTACCCTAATTAAAGGGCCACAATCCTCAAACTATCATTGCAGACATTTTAATAAGAAAAAACCTATTAAAAAGTCACAGCTTCAGTTACAGCGATATCTGTTTTTAATTAACGTTCAAGGAGTGCATGTTAATTAAAAATGTAATTTTATATTCACAAGTTCCAGAAATAAAGAAACCAGTGAGCTGCTCAATACGTTTTATAAATTTAGCAAGACCTTTTGAAACTCGAATAAGTCTTTATACATTTCGTTAAAGAAATTACGAACTTACGATTGAAGACTTTGCAAACCGAAAAAGAATATCAAAGATACTGGAATGAAAAGGAGAACTTTTCAAACTTAAAAGTCTTCACGCGTCTTTGATTAACAGGAGAATTTCCTGTCTGGCATGAAATTGATCTTCCACAACACAGTACCGCATCCGTCCTTTCTACGCACAAACAAGAATTATTCTTGGTCACTTGAATATCCTTATTAATTTATCGGTCCAACCCTCGAACACCACCAAAACCTTCACGAATGTGGTTGCGGTAAAATACTTGAAATATACGAGTGCTCTGTCGTCGCGACATATCCAATTAAATTAAAGTAATAAGGTTCAATTTTGGTTTACCGGAAGGCCATAGAGAACATTTATCGTGAAAAAAATAAAGTGTTAATTAAGTACAATAAAGAAAAAAATATTTTGCATTGCGAATTTTGGCGTTTCTCTTTTAAAAGTATTTAGTGATTACACTGGAATACTATGAGGGTACAAAGAAGCGTTATACTTAAATTCGGTTAGGCAGATTGAACGTGTAATAAATGTTGTTAAGTGTGCTTAAGCATAAAGTTCGATATTGCCAATATTTTTTTTCTTCATTCAAAAGACACGATTGACAGGATTGAATTAATACGAAATAATTCAATAAAATTGTATGATACTTACACCAGTATGTTCATTGACCCCAACGATAACAGCCGTGTACCACTGTGTCGCACCAGCAACACGGTACACCTGAGCACGACATCCTCCCAAAACTGATGGAGTAGTCGTCAGGATTCTTTGGCCATCTTGTACTGTTCTCCATTCGCTTGCTTCGTTTGCCAAGGCTGACAATACCGTTGTTTCCAATCCCACTTCTGAACCCGCCAATCTTGCGTCCCATTCCTATAAATTCAAAAGTTTATTAAGTCTTTTTGACAGGGTAAAAAAAATTAACGTTATTAATTTCGTTATAAATAATTTATGGCATTCCTAAAAGAAAAGTCTAATAACGTAATAAAGTAAAATTTATGTAAAGGGAAATAGTGAATTCGTGACAATGCAAAGCCTAAATAGATAAGTGATTGATAATAGGCTTATCAATATCACTAGTATAGATAGATGTATAGTATAGAATCGACGCTAGACAATGCTGTAAGATGTTATCTTATCATCAGTACTGGAATGCGATACTGATAAGTAAAGACCGATACTGTCATTATAGCTTTTTATATCTACACGCATAATGTAATTAGGGTAGTTGATAAGACCGTTTAACTAGATTATCCTTTCAAAAGAAAGAATAATAAAATATAATCCCTAAGATCACGAAAGAAATAAGTAATTTAAGAGGTCGTTACACTTACAAGAATACGGTCTTAGGAGAATACAATAAGTGGTGTTGTTTTGCGTTAAGTATAGATTTCTAATAAGAAGATTCACTTTAATAGCTAGCTCATTTATTATTATATAACCATAAAGTGGGTTACGTAACAGAATTTAAATGCCATCATACCAATAATGCAAACATGAGGAAACTGGATTGATTAATGCATATGATTTATTGGCGTTTACACGTGTTTATATGCATCTGTAGATACAACTCAAGAGTTATGATAGATAACATGTTAAGTAGTAGTACTCAATGTTTAACATCTGACCTACATTAGACATCGCATTTAACAGAACGATGTCCCATTAATAAGGTATTTAGATTATGTTTTATTCATGTAAACATGTCATCAATGCGCTCATTTTATATGATTTTCTACAAGACTGTTCAAAGCCATGAAACATTAACATCTTTATAATTATGTTTCAAACAATGATGATCAAGAAAACAAAAGAACTCGCTAAACTAATTACAGAAATAAGTCGCGTTTCTGTTTACAGAAACCAATAAATATTGTTGGCACCTGATTAGGTGTTAGAGACTTGTGTATTGTCTGAACACTTGTGATGAGTGTTTAAGCATACATTTCGATACCAAAAAACCTTGTCAATTTTTTTTTCTTCTTTCTATTCTATAGCTTGATAGAATCTGTACTAATAGCTGAAGAGTTTGTTTGAACGCGCTAATCTTAGGAACTACAGGATCAAATTGAAAAATATTTTTAGTGTTGGAGCATTAATCGAGGAAGGCTTTAGACTATAAACATCACGATACGACCAATAGGAGCGGAGATACAGTGGTAAATGTGAAAAAAAACTTCTTTAAATGATCTAAATAAAAGTGCGCGTCGGTATATGTTTATATTATAGAATTGTAAAAACGACGAGACGCGACCGACGTCGTTGGGAACAGTTATACTTTGTAATAATGAGGAGGTTTGCAAAAACAAATGTTGATGCCCAAAATAACTATTCTACGCTGACAATATAATAATTTATATTATAGAATTTGCATATGAAATTCGCAATGTTATTGTATCATTGGTGGATGGCATATTGCAGTACAGAGAACGTATGTATGTCAATGTTATCACACTAATGCAGGGACGCACCTGCGCCTGTGTGGCCGGCGACATACGTATCCGGTGCTCAGTGCGTTGAACCTTCCCCCTACGTCTCTATGCATCTGACAGCTGCTGGCTATTGGATGTGGTTACTGTATATCCTATACTAGAGGAGCCCTGCGGTATCGTCTTTACTTAACTATCTACCCCTTAACGCCGTTTGAGTACGGATCAGTTGTGAAACATGAAACGACAAGGCAGTGAAATAAATTTTAAACCAATCCCAATTAGTCCAAGTTGTTCATGCCCTTGAAAAAATAATAACTGAAGATACTTATCAAATAAGTCAAAGACGAAACCTTAAAATTTCAGGTATTAACACTTGCCATGAATCATGATTGTTGCGAACAGATTGCGATCACCATACATTTAATTTCTTTCATTGTAACCTTGATTTGTACTCTTATTAGTAGCACCAAAATTGAAATTTGAAACACATGTGTCGAAATATTGAGAACGAGCTTATTATTTTATAGCCCAAAGTGTTATAAATAGCCTCTTATTATTGCTTACGTCTACCTAATGCTATACAAATTAATTAACACGACGTGCTCGTGTGATTAATAATGGAGGTTTATGCACATTATAATAAATAACGACAAAGAATTTTCATTCAGTCACGCGACAATTTTTACACAATAGGTACGGTCTTAATTATCAGAACAAAGGAGCAATAAATCGCTCTCATAAAGTAAAACAATAACGTTCGAGTCGTGCCCTTAATAATTTTTCACGGCCGGGCCAGTTTCACTGTGTAATCTGAGATTACGACATCACAAGTTCTGGTTACGGTCTGTTAGGCCCTCTCACAGACGTAGCGATGACTCAGCACCGGTTATGCAACTGTTTACTTTGCGCGGTGACTCTTCAATAAATTGTCTAGAAGCAATTTGATGCACGTTTGTTATAATTGTTGCATCAGAGAAACTAAGTTTAATATGTATTGTCTAAAGTTCATGCTAACAGTGCACATAAATAAAACACTTATTAACAATTGAAAACGCAAAATATATTTGTTACTCTATATTCGCGTCTAATAACGTTAAAAGTAGTATTTAAATAAGTTTATTTAGACCAGTAATATGCAATTAGGCAATAAATCATAAATTAATTGACTAATAAATAAAATAATCAGCTAAGCACGAACGTAGACAACAATAAAATACTTTGTAACGAGATAAGCAGATAGCACGTTGTCTAGTTCTAGAACACGTTATCTGCTCTCGAGATTTCATTTCATGATATGAAAAACTTATCTAATCTTTGCCTCAATTACTAAACCACAGAAAATCAATATTACGACAATGAAATGCCAAATTCCTGGCGCAATATTTCACGTGCCACTATCTTTATGTAACCAGGAAGGCATTACGAGTTGCTGGCATACATTCGCCTCTCCCGCGGTTCTCATTCAATTTCCTGCCGATCCCCAACTTCATTCTACACTCGTGATACGACTATTGATAAGGAATTCCGCACTTTATCTCTTCTGCTATGTGCAGATGACACGTATGAGTCAGCATAAAATTTTCAACTCATCTCTACTTTCAATTTTGTTACTAGCGTAATATATAGCGTGTAAGTTTCTGTATACTACAAAACAATGTATGGTATTTTGGCGGGTTCTAAACCCTCGCGTGAAATGCAATGCAGTTGCAATTCAAATTTTGGACAAAAATTGTAGTAACTTAACACTTGCCGGCCCCATGTCCAACACATAACATTTTGACGGGCGCGTAAGTGTATTGGTAGCAATGTAAGGCTAATCGAACCTACGGAATATAAAATAATGGAATTATTTTATTTTTCTAATCAATTTACAATTTCTCTGAAACATGGTGGCCTTCGTCTGGAAATGAGGATATTAAAAGGGTGTTAGGAACATAGAAATTCGCGAATTTTTCTCAAGCGTTTATCTCTATTGAATGAATATCTGTATTATACTTAACAAAGCTATGTATAGCAGAAACCTTTGAACTGATTACGCAATCATATAGTGTTTCCGCCCTCTACTCTGGACTAAGCTGCTTTAATACCTATCACGTGCTTATGTTATTTACATCTGCCGCTCTTACATAACTTGGACTATTTTAAGTAGAGCAAACGTAGCTTAAAAACATTTGCAATAGTAATAAGGATTAGTCTAACTTGAAGGCGAGAACAATTAGGTTAATACTTACTGAAAAGTCATTGACACAAGACTCGTAGAGTTATTATTATTTAATTACTAGTTAAATATATATTAGTTACTTGGTGCGACAGCGACTTCGTACGCGTAGAATAATTATTTTGTTTGCAAACTCACAACTTCAACTAAAATTTATATTTAAGCTCACGACGTCATCCGCGTCTCGTCGTTCTTGCAAGTTAATCTTACAGGTAGACATATACCGTCGCGGACTTTTTTGAGATCATTTAAAGAAAAATCATTCTTTCATACATATTTTTTGGGTCCGTTTTCGCAGCGTACGCAATGGAAACCCACAAGGATGAATAACTTTCCCCGTTTTTTCGACATCTTTCCCTGTTTCTTCGCTCCTATTAGTAACAGTAATTTTTTTTATAGCCTGCTAGCTTCCTCAATAAAAGCTCTAATCAACACAAAATAAAATTTTAATTCCATTCCTGAGATTAACGCGTTCAGAAAACAAACAAAATCTTTAGCTTTATATCTGTAAGCACTTCCGTAAAATAATAACTTAAAAGATATTCAGCAAATAATGTACTCTTTAAAGCTACGGAGAGCTAAAGAAACGTTTGTTGTTAACAAATAAATGAACACTGAAAATGTTATTTTTTAATAGAGAGATTATCAACGCCAAAATATAAGATTTTATTTCGTTCAACAAACACAAAACTATATGTAATAAATACATATCTTCGAGCTTTCTATCTGCGTCATTGGAATTCATATTCTTCCAAATAAATAAATTCGCCAATACATTATGTTTGTTGTTGTAAAGTCGAGGTCAAGGTTAGTCGCTTCAAATGTTTTGAAATAATGTTCTTGACGCCAACGCGTCTTATTTCTTGCGAGGCGAAATGTACTGGGGAGAATTAAATATAGTATCGACTATATTTAATTCTTATAATAAAATCACGTTGGAATGTTTAATATAATTAAGAATGTCGGGCAGTTTTCCAACTCTTCAGTGACAACAGACTATAAAAATGGTTGCGATAAAATCAATATATAAAAATCATATTTAAATAAGGAGACTGAGCTCTGACTGGTCTTCCCGTGACCATGGCTGCTGCAAAGCATCCGAAACGTCGGGCCGTAGTTAAAAATAATTTTCAAACTAAAATATATCGCGTTTTAAACCATTTAAGTGTTTTATTTAAAAGTGTATTACTCGCTTAAACTACAGACATTATTCAAAAATCATGTTACTCTATTTTTTTAGTGTATCACTAACAGTAACTTCACACAGTAATTTACGAGTATGTCCTCTTGTCAAACTATCCCAAATATCTAGAATTAGAATTTGTACACGTGGAGATTGTTTTCTAACTATAAAGCCGAGTTATCTAAAGGCTATATTGTACAATGGATCCCCTGGGGCCTATACAATACGTATAGTAGCTCGGAGAAACGCCCTTTGCTATTCTGAGTAAAGCTACATTAATAATATTTGCATTGTTTACTTTGGCGTTATATTTTCCATTGTGCTTTATATTCGGTTTGTTTGTGTCAGCCTAGTCAACAGACGTAAGCAAATATTATTTTTATGTACTAGCTTTCTTCATATTACTACTACTTTCTGGAATATTACTTCACCTTTTCTTGAATTTCCAAATGATGACATTTCTGAAAAGGTTGTAAAGGTGGGATTCGAAGCAATTACCTCTAACACATACGAAGACTTGAAATCCTGAATTCATGGGTAGAGATGACGCTGGCATACATCTGAGATATTTTCAATTATTCATAAATCACTTTGCCCAAAATCGAAAGTATGAGATATAATTACAATTACCTGAAAATCGCACCAAGGATTTCTACTAACGTAATTTTTAACTGTTTTGATTTACGCGAGTAGTACACATTTAAATAAAACACTTTAACGGTTTAAAACGCGATATATTAGTTAAACTTATTTGAAAATGATTTTTAACTTCGGCCCGACGTTTCGGATGCTTAGCAGCAGCCGTGGTCACGGGGAGAAATAAGTTTAACTAATATAACACGTTTTAAACCGTTAAAGTGTTTTATGTTTTGATTTAGATAAGTGTACTAAACACGAATAAATATTTTTTTGATTTGATTTAATATTAGACAATAGATTCCACCATCAGACGCGTCACGCGACCATCTTGTATCGGTCCTAATACAGTCCAACAGTTTTTGTGAAGACACGAATTGTTCGCGATTTCCAACTTTCACAAAAGCTAGCCATTTTAATCCTTTTATTGCGATTCCACTTCGTATCCTCAAAATAGTTGCTTAAAAGCGTAGTCGTAAAACAAAGCAAAACGTTGTATATTATACGTTCGTAGCCAAGTTTACAAGTTAACAAAGGGTTTTAAAACGAGACAATGCTTTCATGCAGTCATGCCTATCCATCATAGCAGATGAAACGTCTGAGAGTACTCTAGGGGGGGGCAATCCGGAAAAAGTGATATAAGATTCGACATTCAACACTACTTTCAAACAAATCCGATAGAACTGGCGACTTATCCCTGCGCAAAGCTCATGTCGCATAAATGAGGATCGACCTCCAGGTACGTACGATCTTGCGGAAGAAAACAAACACGTGAACGCAGAGCAGCATAAATTGGGCTTTTGTGCTCAACTGAACGTCATTTATGTAGAAGCTACAAGTATAATAGTGCTCTGGATGGCTACCGGTCTCCGCATATACACGTCATCATATTTTACTCGTCGGTCTCGACTTTGATTAATATTCGTGAGCTTCGTACTGAGATACGTACGTTGAAATTGTAATTTCGTATGCACTTTAACAATTTACTATGCAGTCCTTAAATGTATGATATTTAGATGGGTGCTTTGGCAACTGCACCACTCACGTACGTAAACTTTAAATGAGAGTGATTTATACATATTTAATTGTTTTTAGATATCCAATAACGCAGTATCATCTACAGTTCTGTATTAATTTGAAAATCAAAAGATTTAAAATTAAAGAACAATAAAGTATATTTAATTTTAAAATTAAAAGAAACGGGCCGGACTTGAACTAGCGACCACAACTTATCGTTTTGTTGCTAAGCAACTACACCACTTTTTCCCGCTCACGCGTATGCAATTTCATCTATAACAGAATTAGCGAAATCTTGAAAAGAGAGGACCTTACCTTTACTTATAATATATGTGATTCATAAAATCATGAAACAGAATCATTGTCCATAATTTATAGTTGTCTGTGCCTTGCCAAAAATAAAGTCCAATAAATAATAGGAACAAAAAACAAACTTCCATTATCAGATGAATAAATCTAAATTCCAACAATGATATACGGCAATAAATAACTCCCACGCGAACCGGTATTCGCGTATTGCAGTCTCGTAAGACGACTCCGCAAGTCCACCACCCACTTTCATCAGCCGATCTTTAGTAATTAACCGTAAAAGATACGCGTTAATGGCTTTCAAACTCTCTTTTGGCAGCTGAACGTTTTTTAATTGTTCGTAAACGGTTTTTTCTTTCACTTCTGCTTCTTAGGTTGCTCAGACGAATTTCTTTGATCATCTTTCTAATAACGATTGTAATTTGACTTCTAATTTTGAAATAATGTGAGTAAGGTACAAAAATTAATTTAATGAAAGGTTAAACGTAAGGGTAACGTATTCTCTTTTATAAGGTTCTAAGCTCTCAAATCTACACTTTAAGAAGATAGTCCTTATCAACGGGATGTCATGTGCAAGGAGATCGTGTCAAAGCATTGCTAGGTCTAACACACGAGTATATTCTCCTTCCCCACACCGCATGGGGGGAGGTCTCCCAACGAGCTAACTGAAGCAAAATTTTACTCGTTTAAGTTCCGCGATTAGTTCCACGTTTGCGTGCAAACGCGATGCAAACTTCGGAACTTTCATTACCACTCGGCTAATTGAGTTTTTCATTACACGCATTATTAATGCAAATTTCACTCTTCAAACCCTCATATTGCATCTTGACGTTTGAATAAAAATTACTACCACAATACATCCCCTGAAGAATTACATTGCGTGAAACGCGCAAGAATTAACTTAGCCGAAACAGAATTTAATTAAAACCGACAAGTCCTTATGAAAATCTTGTTAACCTTAACGTTAACACGATTTCAATTACGCGCAGGCGAGTCGGGTGCGCAAAAATAAATTGTATAACGTCCAATCAATCACTGGTTGGGAACGGCCGGGACGACCAAAAATAGCGACGTGCCACCTGGCAGAATATGTATATAATAAGGGAGGCAGCCCGGGTGGTGCGAGGAAAATCAATAAACCGGGCGAGCATCAAAACATACCGCACTCCCTCGTCTCCCCTCTTCCCGCTCGTCTCCCTGGGAAACCCTCCCCTTGTTTGGCAGACACCGTCCTTGATACCCACTCCGCCCGCGCAACTTTGGATAAACATTCGTGTAGCCAGTAGAAAATTGGGTCGGTTATGCGTTTAGCTCTGGGCGCCCCTTTGTTTTATCTATTATGTTTGATCATGTGAATTCCCGGAAGCTGTTATTAATAACAAAGCGAAGTAGTTTTACCCCAAATACTTCTAGCAAAGTGTATATTTACATACAATTATATTTATCTCTTTTTCTTTTTGTATTAAAGAGAAAATTAAAAATTTGTAATAAAAGCATTCATTTTTTAAACATCTGTCCGTTTTTGTATAGTTTGTGTCACGACAAAATTACTAAACTAATTTTGAGAAACAAATTCGCAAGAAGAAGATAGCGACTTCGAGTAGTTCCACGTTGTTTAGAATTCAAAACAACTGTTAACAAAAGCGAAAATACAATGTTAATGTTAACAAGTTAAAAATACATAGTGCACTAGTTATGATTGCTGAAACTCCCAAGGAATTTTAAATAATAATAGATAAGGAGGACTTTCTTTGTTCTCATTTCTCGTGTGTATGTAAACTTTTGCATTTTGAATTACACGAGAGGCTTCGTTGCTAGTTTCAAAGTTCATCTTGCAGCTTTATATTTTATATTTGCTGGCAGTGTAAATATCATGTGCAGTTCCATTAAAACTTTGAAAGCACGATATAACTATATCCAAGGGAATTAATGATTTAAAAATAGTGGTGTAAATAACATGTGTATTTAGATAGATTAGTACAATTACTGTGGCCTATCATACTTTTATAGACAGAGAGCCCAGAGCCCATAAATGACCCAGATATATAAGTCGTTAGATAACAATTGTCAAGAAACAAGTGTTTGAGAAAATTTGAGTCCATAAAATAGTATATTTCTTATTTATTCTTATATCTTGCCCATACGCTTGATACATAAAGTTTGTCAAGTTTCCTTTCAATTTAAACTTAAGCATTTATCTATAAGTTATCATCCTTCACACTATTTGACACGTATCAAAAAATCGATCAAATTCATGAGTCAGTGTTGGTACCAATTTCATATTATATTCAACTCAAACAGTGATTCATTCAAATTATTGTATTATGTATTCTGTAACAGCAAACGTGACACAAATATTATTTTATATGTACATAACTCCATAGTAAACACGTGCTATGGTTTTTGCAATTATAAGCACTTCAAAATGCAAACGCTGGAATTTTCCACAACTCAAAACGGTCCTACTATCGCCATCTAGTGGAGAGTAGCAAGAACTTAGAGTTCTTAAAAGTAATATGAGATATGTTACTTTTAAGTATTGTAATATATTAAGATCATCTATTCAGTTTAGAAATATATTGATTATTATTACCTGATAAGGTTGTAGGTTTGCATAGTCGTAAAATTGAAGCTGTTTGTCATGAAGAAATTCCACTGGTTGTGTTTCAGCTTGCAAAATTACTTCAGCTGTTAAAGCAGCGAATGTCTGGAAATAAATGTTTTTTGTTTATTATTTCTAAGTATTTTAACATTTTGTATTGTTAAACACCAAAAGTTTTGGGTATCTAAAACAAATGTGACTGTCAAACTGCAAAGTGTTAACATAAATCCCCATTAAATATGAAACCTATGAATCTGATTTATATTCGAATGTCGTATTTGCACATTATTTAATTGAATTGCCGCCTGTTTGACGTTTGTCAGAATCTTTTGAAATACAACTGTACTGTGATACTGTGTTTTAAGACATATACATTTGGAGAAGTCATGTAAAATGTAGCAAACTATTACTAGAAAAACTTAATAGTAAAAAGGGCATTTTTCATTTTATTTTAATGACTTACCTATATCTATTACAGGAACTAGTCACTATATTAACAATAGCAATTAACTAAACAGAGAAAGATAAAAAAACTGTGTTTACATGCCATCTCTTAACAGTTTTAGTAACAATGATGTGTTCCTAAGAAATGTACTGATAGCATAGAATGTATATTTTAATTTCATTTACTCTTAATTAAATTCTTCTATTTGTAATCAACTCACCAGAGCTGGCCATTTGACTTCTTTGTTATTCACTTTCCTTGGTGCCCACACTAAAGTTCTTTCAACTAAAAACACGCGAAACGTCCGAAGGGAATATACCGCTACCCACTCTCTGCGCTGCCAGTCAACACCATCGTATTCGACCAAAACCTGAAAAAATAAGAAAATCAGAATTATTTATCTTGCTGGACAAAAACTTATTCCAATAAACAAAATATTGAATGCAGCGCCACCAAGTAGTGAGTAGCTTAACTACAGCACCGAACTGCATGTATTTTTATTACGTTAGTTTTTTATTTACTGACAACAGATGGCGCTATGAGATATATTACATTACTATTCTATAAAGAGTCTATAGGTATAAGTACATAAGATCCTTTATTTTGAACCATTAAATTAGATAGAAAAATTCGACATAATTTTGTCCTAAAATAAAGTTACTTAGTTCGAAATAAATATTTAAAATTGCTAATAAGGGTGAATTTATTATTGCGTATTATTATTATCGTTATGGTCAGCGGTCATAGGTACTTTGTAGATAGATGATTAACTTCGATCGCTTAATGAGGACTCACGCTTGACCTTATGATTCAACAGCGATGTTTTCTATGCCACAATAAAACACGACATAATTATTTGCAACGTCAGGCCCTTTACATAAAGAATAGACATAAAAATTACATAAAGAAAAACCTTATCCTTCAGAAATATTATCCGAATGTGTTTTGTTGTCCTTCGTTCACGACCTATCATCTAGGTAACCAGAGACTTGTGGAACAGACCCAAGAGTTAATTACTAAAGAAAGTACTTAAACTAAAAAAACTGTTATTTCAGTAACAAATACTTATTTATTTGTTATAAACATTTGTTATTCTTCATGGTCCCCCATAATTAGTATCTAGTTCTTCCTCACATTTTATAATTACGATGTATTCATGTATACCGCGGGAAAAATTCGAGTGTTAACATATGAAAATTGGTTCAAGTATGTTCACTGGAAACATACTAGCGTGTCAGTGGCCCAGTTTGTTCGAAGCCCTACCGTATGCAGCGACCTTGATGTATCATAGCTACATAAGTACAAAGTACACTGTATGTCTTTGGCAATGCAGTGGAGTCAGGAATTTGACGAATGCGAGTAGTTTACCGTGATAACCTTATAAAATCACATTGTATTCGTAACATGTTGTAAAGATTTCAAGCTTACATTCCCGATGGACTGAAATGGTAAACAATGATCGAACATATTTGGTAATTGGTACACGAAACTGTATTTTTTTTAAGGATTTAATTTACTGTTATATTAATTATAAGCAGCTTATATCGTGTATAAATCATAAAATACAGTTATTTTCACTCTAAAAACTTATTAAAGCAGCCAAAAATGTACTTCAAATATTAAAATTATATAAGTAGTTATATTTCTTTAATGGACAATTCATTTGACATACAGCTATCACGCATAGGAAGTGCAATAATTTTAGACATAGTTTAGACGGTAGTTAGCTATAACTAAAGGCAAAACGTTTATATCTTATTTAATAATAGTTTTGCTATTCGTTAAAGGATTTACTAGCGAGGCCGTTTTACATGTACAGCTTGCTCATTAATTCTTTCACCAACCAAATTACGTTTGTATACGATTCGAGTTAACTTAGAAGGAAAACTCTTTTTGTAACTATTATTGTAAAGAATAAAAACTATATTACCAAACTGCTAATTCTCTTTAACATCCTCTATCTACTCAATCACTGTTTTATGGGTAACAGGTTATTTCAAACGATTTACACATTTAATTAAGGAATCAATTTAATTTATTTAATGTTAAATGTTGTAATCTGTTGTGTCTTGATTCACACCTCAGAAATGTTTTCCCTGGATTCCAATAATAATTAAAAAAATCATCTTCGGTTTGTTACTTATGTGAAACAACTATTTAAGACTTGCTTTTTAAACGTTTAATTAACCTTAGAAACTTATAGTCATTTTTGAGAAAACAAAATGCGTTTTTCTTAATTTCTGAAGGTTTTTACCATGTTTTTACAATCTTTAGCAAAATAGTTGTCTTATCAAGAGGCCATAAATAGGTTTTACCTCATCCTAGAATTGGCATAACAATAGCAGATCATGACGGGCACTTTCATGTGTTGGTTCTGTTCCAAACCTCGGCTGCTTGCAAACATCAGCCGTCGAGTACAAACAGTAGAGCTAAACCATGCATCGAAAATTTTAGCACTTTGCCAAAAATACTAAGATCTATAAACTATAAATGCTGGGAAACGTAAATTCAGGCTATATCCCCACATAATGTAATGGTACATTTGTGTCAAATATATTTAAATAATATAAGTAGTTACAAATGATTCTTAACGCGATAAGATTTTAATTGTGTTGTATGAATTTTAAAAACAATGTAGGTGTATTTAACTACGGCCCGACGTTTCGGATGCTTTGCAGCAGCCGTGGTCATGGAGACAGGGTGTTTAACAAATATATATCTTGTTTAAACCGTTAAAGTGTGTTATTTAAATGTGTACTACTAAACTACAGATAGTATTTAATATTAATTATTTATAAGAGCTAAGAATCAAAACATTAAACGTTAAAACTGAATTAACTCGTTCGAATCAAAACAATATTTTTGTAAATACGTAATGCTATTATCTAATTTGTCACAATACGTCCTTGTATAACTTATTCAGAGCTAGGTAGATATAAACAAAAGAAGCCTTCTCGGATCTCCTTAAGTACATTCTTGAACGTTCAATTACCGTCTAGTTGTTCAGGGTTACAACAATTTACTGCTCTATTTAACGTCAAATTAATTATGTCTTCTAACAATGTGAGAATTTTAAAATGTCTGCAATTTTTAGTCGATTATGGTACTTGTCAAATTTACTACATATATATAATTATTATCAGACAGGAGACTTTAAGGAAAGGAAATCGATTTGGGACATTTTTCATGTTAGGTGGCTTTAATAGTATATCTATTTCTATAATAATAGAAGTATGTAATAAGATTGCTGAATTGTTTTATAATGTTCAAACAGAGATAGAATAAGTGCCAGTTTGTTTGACTTATTGTAATCGATACAAACCTTTAACATAAGTACGTTTGAATTAGTAAATGGTCTTCACTTCGTCTCTTCTCGGTCATCTTATCTTGTAATTCAAACAATTTAAAAAATCTGTTTAAAACAAACGTACCTTTACGCTATAACAAACGCTGGTAGTACGGTGAAGTTCTTTCAATTTGTGGATATATCTACCTACTTGATATGCTTTTGAAGGACTGTGTTGCGAGATTAAAGACAACATACCCTCAGGTGCTCTGTTTTTATACATAAATTAAGTTATGTATATCGAATATTATGTTGTATGTCTAGGAAAAGTCGCGATTGCATAGAACCGGTAAATAAAAATCAAAAAAAATGGTGCTGCAGTATATTTCGTTGTGTTTTCTTATTTATTATGCATCTAACACTGTTCTTTACCGGTGTGCGCGGGAAACTCGTTCTAATAATAGAAACACTAGGTACCTACTCATTCAAGGTTGCAAAACTAGGCCAAACGCGAAAGATTTCAACTGCGACCAGAGATTTATCTCAAACATGCTTTCTTGTTGTGAATATTAAATGTTAAAATTTTATGGTACGACAGCTATTTTTTAAAGAAATTACAATGTATTCTAGATTATAAATGTGCAGGTAAAGGTAAGAATGTCATTTTGATTTCGCCCAGATTTATACGTATAATGTTATATTCTGATAAATTATAATTATTTTTGTTCTTATTAATATTACAGGTATTGCTGGTGCAAAATCCGAATAGGAAATAAATATCGTCTTTAGTTACTACTTACAGAAACAGAAAGTAGGCAGTTAAATATCTTTCAGTACGAAATATTTTTCATAGGACTGAAAGACTCAAATCTTTTCGTATATTTGGTACGTGTTCTTTTTTATAACTTAAATAGCTGTGTCAGTGATGTCACCCGCTTAGAATAGTTATTATGGGCTTGAAAATTTGTACCTATCGGTGTAGTACCAGTGGTGTTTAATAGCCTAAAGCCTTTATCGATAAATGCTCAAGCCAACACAAAAAATTGACAATTTCATTTAATAGTATCTCAAAATAATTCAGTTATACAACCTATGCCTAAAGTACAATCCTTTACTTATGTATATTTTATTTATTAAAGTAGTAAGAGACAGATAAACTATCAATAATTCAGATTCATTATATATTATACTATACATATGTCTAAGTAGGGTAAGCACTGTGGGGTTCTATTTACAAGGAGTGTAATTTATTGTTGTCACCCCCAAGTCGTTGAGGTTTTTCACCTCCACATTATACGTACTATGATTATATGACACTATCACATCTCGCTATTAAAACATTCCAATGATAAGCAGTTACGTACGCGACACGAAGAGAAAATAATTTCAACTTTTACTTATGTAACGCGTCTGAGATTATTTCGCTTCTGTTAGGCTAAATACGGTTACGCTACTTTAGAAAACGTAACTTAGTTCAATTAGGCTATATTACTAAAAACATCAGGGAACATTAACACTACAATAGTACAATAGATTTACATACATATTAAGTTTCAGATATGTTAACTTTTTGTACTTAATATTTTACAACTTTAATAACGAACGGTAATTTTTGCTTTTTAAAATATCTAGATCGAAATAAAAAATTACAATATTCACATATATTCAAGACTATTGGGCAATGACTAGTGAGGACTTGTTCCTCCAGCATTTGTTAAACAGGCTGTAATTCAGTGACGTAGACGTATTAATAATAAAGATATTTAGTTAAATGCTTTAACGGTTTAAAACACGAAATACATTATTAACTAATATATTTCGCGTTTTGAAATTTTTTTAACTATAGTCCGACGTTGCGGATGCTTTGCAGCAGCCGCGGCAGTCTCCTCGTGATCATGGCTGTTGCAAACCGTGAAAGTATTTTATTTAAAAGATATCTAGTCTCTAAATGACAAAACATTAACATCTCGTCGGAACTTTTAGCTTCTTAATGTTTTCACAAAAACGAATGTGGAAGATGTGCAGAAGTACTGAATAACCGCATTAAACATCCATCACGGTAACTTAATCAAGATTTCTTATAT